GTGTCAGTTCTTTCCTAGAGAACATAACACAGTACTCAGTTACACCAACATAAATACATTACTATTTTGACCACAGAACTGATGCTCAGACTTCAATAAATAACTATAACAGTCAATCAAATAAGTTCAAGAATTAAAAAAAGATGTAGGTTTGACTCCCCCAACAACTAATAAAGAACTTAACCTTGACAGTGGAGTAGAGCAGACCAGGGTGGTTACAGAGCTTCTTCAGGGCAGTGATGCAGGCCAGGTGTGTGTGAGTTTGCGCAGAGGCCTGGAGGCAGGCTCTGAAGACTCTGTGGCCGAGGAGACGCATGTATAGCTCTCGCTGCAGAGGGGTTGGGTCGCAGAACAATGTCCAGTCGAGACGAGGAGGCAGGTAGCGGTTGATAATCTCCTGCGTTCGTCTCAGGATGAACATGCCAGTCAGGCGAGAGAGCTCTGCTGCTCGCTCTTCTCCCAGAACTCTCTCCTCCTGTTGACAGACACCAGATCCAGTTTAATACCAGACAAAGTTGTTGATATATGTCAAGTGACTACATAGTAGAATTAAAGAGGGAAAGAAGAAGCGTTACCTCTGTGCAGGAGGGCTGCCTGGAGCGTAGAATCGGCTCTTCGTACACTTTCCTATATGCAGTGGAAGACCCGAGAATCCCCGGGTTAACAAACTCTATAATAGCGTAGAACTCCTGCAGGTCGTTCTGTACTGGGGTGCCTTCAAAACACAAACACATTTATTATAAAACATTCACAATAAGTTGTAGTTGTCAGTCAGAGACTTCTCTGCAGTGTGTACCTGTTAGTATGACTCTGCGATTACAGCTCAGGCTGCTGAGGGCTGAGGATGTTTTGATGTTGCTGTTCTTTAATCTGTGGCCCTCATCACAGATTACAAGACCAAACTCCACTTTCTGTACCTGAAAACACGAGAAATGAACACTATAACCACACAAATCACATGATGATATAAGATGATTTATTTGTAACATGGATGCTTGACAGCTAAGACACAAAGTGAACATACCTGCTCCAGGCAGCGCAGCAGCATTTCATAGCTGATCACAAGAACGCTGTGCAGTGGGGACAACACAAACTGCTCTATCCTGTGGTCCTATACATGTCAATAAAGGATATATGTTAATGACTTACAACATTATTATTATACATTATAGTTGAAGGTATCTGACAATCTGACAAAAAGATATTAGACGAGGAAAAGGCATGAGCCAACATGGAATAAGATATAAATAGAATCAAATGCAAAATGGAAGAAAAACGCAACAAAAGCACAGCGGGACAAAATATAGGTTTAAAATAACACGTTTACAAAAGGGTTTTAACTTAAGATAAAGAGGAGCTAGCTTAAGAGCATTTTTCTTACTTCATAGCGAGCTTATAATATAGTTTTAGGTACAGAACTGCACTTTTATGTTAGTATCTTTCTCAAAATCCTACATGTTTATATTCATGTCTGTGTCTCTGGTTCATGTCTGTGGGGTTCTTTACTGTATTTAGGAGGTTTTTTATAATTTTGTATTTATTTATATTATTTGTTACAATTATTATTATTACATTCATTTGTTACAAAGCATAATGAGCTTACTTGTAATGAAAAGTGTTATATCAATGCCTTGCAACATAAATTGAAAAATTGAAATTGAAATAAATTGAACCTCATCTAATAAAAGTCTTTCAACTTATGCTGCCATCATGTTGCGTGAGCCCAAAAGAAAGACTTTCCCCTTCTCTCCTCACCTGATCCACAGTGAAAACACTGATCCTCTCACGGCCCAGCCACTTGTTAAACTCAGCGCCCCAGTTCTGCACGAGGCTACCAGGGGTGACCACAAGGACACGTTTAGCAACTGGTTTCCCACCGTACGGTCCTTGTTTAAGCAACGTCCAGGACAACGCCACGCTCTGGAGGGTCTTCCCCAGACCCATCTCGTCAGCCAGGATGGCTCCATAGCAACCCACAGCTCTGAAGAACACACAATAAAATTAGTGGTATAATGATACACTCAACTCATGCTTAGATACTTCCTTTTCTTTCTAAAACTTAAACCTGAAGATATAACCCTGTCAACTGCAGAAAATGGCCTCATAAATACATTTTTCCATTCCATTGATTTGAAACTCCAAATATTTGTATGCCGATTTAACTGTCTCATAATGTATTGTGAAATTCCTAAAATAAATCACATTAATATGATCCATTTAGAGTCCTAAAAACAGCCTAAAGGTCCAGTGTGCAGGATTTAGTGGCATCTAGCAGTGAATTTGCAGACAACCAAGTAAATATCCCTTCCAAGTGTGTAGGAGAAACTACGTTGGACACAAAACTTGTGAAAAATACGACAGGCGCTATGTAGAGCCAGTGTTTTGGTAGAAGTGTATAAACTTGGCGGACTCTGTAGTAGAGGACCAGATTCCCTCTGCAGATAGGAAGAGCTCATTCTAAAGTAACAAAAACACAAGGCTTTTATTTTCAGGTGATTATACACTAATGAAAAGAAAAAAATACATTCTAGGATCTAAGATATGTCCTACATATGTTCTATGTTTAGCTCCATTACCTCATGCCCATGACACACTCATAGAGAAAAAGCAGGCCGTCTCTCTGGTGGGGTCGCAGGTGAGTAGTCAGGTAGGGGTCAACAACAACATCAATCAAAGGAAGCCCCAACTTGTTATTAGACCACTGGTGGTTGGGAGAGGGACGAGGCATTACCAGTGCACCTGCAAGAGATCCAGAGGCCCGGACTATGTTTATACACAGTGTTTGTGTATAAAGAAAAGTGAACCATCAAGTCTTGTAACAAACCAAAATATGCCATAAAATGTCAGAAATTATGAAATATTTTTGAGTAAGAATAAGCATTATTAACCCTAACAAACATATCAAATTCAACTAGTAACAAAGAAAAGATACATTTCCTTAAATTGTGGACTTTTAAGTAAAAGCTATACATACGCAAGCAAAAGGTTATACATATAAATAACGTTTCTGATGTAACCTACATACCTGGAGCCAGTGGGTCATGGCGAGGTCGGCAGGTTTGTTCCTCCTCTGGTTTAGACCCTGAGAGATCCGCTCTCCCCAGCAGCGTTGGGGGACAGAAAGGTTTGGACGCAAAGCGGCGAGGGGGAGGTGGAGCCGACATTGTGTGCAGCTCCTCTTTCTCTACCTGGACCTCTTGGAAGCAACGTCCCCTGGCGAAGTCCTCAGCAGAAATGACACCCATCACCTCCACCTCCTTTCCTCCAATCATAAGGGTCTCTCCCTCCGACAGGGAGGCCAACACAGACACCTTGTAGCCACTTCCTGCAACCACACATGCAGAAACATACCCACTGAACAAATACAAAACATATACTGGAAGAAATTATCCAGAACTGCTATACTATACTACTAAGTGATAAAAGCTCACTTTTTAAGGTTGAGCTTAAAGAACAACTTGACTCCAGCTGAGACTCTCTTGAATTTCTGACCTTGCCTCAGGGGTAAACAAGTGTACTCAAAGTGTGTTGGGTGTGTGAAGCACTTGATGTTTGCTTCCTTTGGGACGGATCATAAACAGATTTGAAATAGCAAGAGCTTACAATTTATTTGCAAATGATATCCTCAACTTCAGTTCTCAGTCAAACCTAGTGAGGCTTTTAGATCATTGAGGCTCTTAGACTGTCTCAAAGCTATTAGGCAGAGATTAGTGATCTGAGATCTCTAGTGTCAACTGTTGAACTAGAGATGCTTATAAATGCCTTTATCGCATCTCGCATTGACTTCTCTTACGCACTTCTCTCCTCACTTAGTATGTCTGCTCTTACTCGTCTGCAGGCAATCCAGAATGCTGCCGAATGACTACTCGCTAGATCATATAGACGCTCTCATATTACCCTTATTACACTTGATCTCTTCACTGGCTCCCTGTTGTGTATAGGATCCAGTTTAAAATTCCCACTCTTACTTAAAGAGCATTGCACGGTCAGGCTCCTGCACATGGCTGAACTACTGCACCCTTACTCATCAGCTTGTTCCTTTAGGTCAAATGTGCTAAATTTGCTGTTTGTCCCACATGCCTGCACGACTAGTGCTGATCGAATTTTAGAGGCTGTAACACCCAAATGGAGGAATATGGAATATTCTGCCTGCATCCTCAGGCTGCAGATTCTTTCAAAAAGCAGCAAAAGACACATCTGGTAAAGAGTAACCTGTATGCACCAGGTCTACATTTAATGTATTTAATATGTATATTGTAACGCAGTTTGTGACTTATGTCTGTGAAAAGTGCTTTATAAATACATTTGACTTATTTACTTTCCAACCAGAAGACTTGGTATTATATTACAATTTAAAGCTACTTATGTTCAATATTTGCTTGTCGGTGTTAAAGAAAAAATTCCTAGTATCCCTGGTGTGGACTTCCCAGGAAGACTAGTAAGCACTTTGTGGAAGCTAATTAGGATCCAGTGTAAGAATAAAGGCATCATATGCTACAGTCACACTGCTCCTTTTCCCAACAGACTAAAACGTGACTACAAGACGAAGTTGAAAAAAAAACATTACAACAAGACACATGTCAATAAATAAAATACTAAATGTAACTTGGGTTGTCTCTGTCTCACCCTTGCCAATGTCCTTGCCCTCCATATCTTTCAGTGTGGCTGTGCGTCCTCTTGTAACCAGGACTGCATCGCCCTCCCAGCACTTGTGTTTCTTCTTACTGGCCTTACACCACATCACACTGAAGTAACGCGCTCCGTCCTGCCTGCAGCCAGAGTCTGAGCCTGGAGCTCCGGGGCCAAAGGCTGACCCCACTGAAGGCTGAAGAGTTTGAGGAGACCCCGGAGTCAACTGAGGAGAACCGTTCACTCCTGTAACACAAAGACAGATATCATAGTGAAAAACCAACAGAAATATCTTTGACACAATTGGCAACCCACCAGCAGAGGTCACTGTTGTACCAAGTCTACACATCAGACCTTCACACACTCCGACCTTCATACATTCACATGCCTATAAACTTGAGTACCATTTGTGCCATGTTGGAATTAAAAGTGCTCTTGGTCGTCATGTGTTCATATGATATGTAAAGACAATCCAGTTCAGAGAAAAGCTTTTCCTCAGAGGCTGAAAGTATGAGAGTGGACGTCTGTTTGACATGTAATAAACACACGACAAGCAGAATATCAACCTTCCTTTTTTTTTTTTTATAGAAATACGTGAACATATGAACAAACCGTAAAAGAAACTGACAACACTTGTTTACCAACATTACAATACAATCAATGTTGTAGTCACATACAGTACATTAAATAACAATAACATCACAAAACCAATTCCACATCTCCCTTCTTTTGATCACATCAATTCAGCAACCAGAGAGAATTTCTCACTTTAACATGCCGTACTCACTTCTGCATCATCTATTAAGGCCTTCAACAGTTTAACTTGTGCTTCAATTCTGGGTATCTGAAACTGACTTTTCAGGTCTAAAAAAAGTGGATCTCTGTTGGTTTGCAGCTTTGCTTTTTTCATTTGTAACCTACAGAATTTTGAAAAAGCACCCATAATTTGGTCAACTAAAAGGGCTACAAGGAAATGCAAGGAAGGCAGCCTCCAGTATATAATTACAGTAAATGCTGTTAGAATAATTTTTCTAACAATACTGGACAACAAAGATCATTAACACTATGCTGAAATTTCTATAGACACATTGTTTTTGTTCATTGATCTAGGCAGGAAAAGCACCATCATGGTACACGTCATTTGTCACTACTAACATTCCCTTCCACAACCTGGACTTTCACATTTATTTTACCTACTTTGGCCTGTCACAGTGTTTGTAATGTGAGCATTTACAAGTTGTGTTGCCACTTCTGTCAATAAGTGAGAGAATGATGAAACATTTTTAACACTGACAAGCATAAACACAGACTGATGGCAACACAAGTCAGCCTTATCCAGGCTTTCAGTGTCTTTACTAGGCACTATGTTTCCAAAAGAGATTCAAGTTCTGAAACAGCTCTCAAACATGAAACTGATGAGTGTGATTGCTACACACTTTAAACTCCTCAGAGCCTCTCCCTTTCTAACACTGGCCACAGATGTGCATGTTCATGCTTGTTATAGAGGAATTGGCAGTCCGTGTCGGAGTCGAGCAGCCCTTAGTTTCTCCACTTTTATCTTGGCTCTCAGAAGTTCCTCCTCCAGTTCTTGTTTCCTCTTCAGCCCCTCCCTCTTCTCCTCCAAATACATGGCAACCTTCCTGTGATTGGCCAACACCATCTCATGCTCCTCTTTGGCCAGATGCAGAGGGCGAAACCTGTCGGGCTCGTGGTGAGGGTAGATGTCGTTGGGGTAGAGGTCGTGGCGTAAGGGCAGTGGCGAGGTGGAGAGGGGGATGTTAACGGAGGACGGAGTGGGAGACAGAGATGCTTCGTAATCGTGGACGCTTCCCAAGTCCTGCTCCTCCCGCTCCTGGCCTTCGTCCAACCCTGGCTCTGTGTGTACGGAGAGGATGGGGAGGTCTGGTGGTGGTTTAACATCCTCTTCAGGGTCCAGCTGGACCACCTCATGGGGGATACTTGGGACAGCTGCTGAGTAATCCTGAAATCCAGCCAGAGAGGAGCTGCTGCCAGGATGTTCGATAGGAGAGTTGTGCTTGCTGTATATTAATCTAAAAATGGAAGGAGGGATAAAAATAAGTAAGACTAGAAAGCTTAAACAGCGTTTATTGAGTGTCTACATCTTGTTTATGTGAGATGTGTAGAGACCTCTGTTGGCGATAATGCACACTGAATAAATCAATCAAAAGGATCAGTTGGCTAATTAGAGTAAATGAGGTGATTCACAAAACTAAAAAACAACAAACCTATGCTGCTTACAGCCTCACAGATGCTACAATGTCCTTACTGTTTCACATTATTATGCATAAATACTAATACAACAAACACCCTGAATTATTCAGTGGTTTGTTGCCTTCTGAGCCAGTGTTAATATATTCTCCCTCATTCTACTTTCTATAGCACTGAGAACTTGAGCCAAGATCAAAACATTATGTCACATTATTTTAGGGTCCAATTTGTGATTGGTACTTGTCTTGTTTTTTTTTATAGCACACTACATGATTCAGCTGAAACTAAACTAACAGATCAATCAATATCAAACATTAAATAGTGGCAGGGCCTTCTGTATTTTACTGTTGAGCGTGATGATGTACCGAGAGTGAGTAATCTGATTGGGCTTTGGAACTGTGAGTCCAGCCCCTCCCTTCCCTCCTCCTCCTCCTCTCACAGATGAATCAGTATCATACAGACTACATAGTATTTTGGAGCTGTTGATGCATGTCTGAACTTGGTCAACTCTGACTTGTGTTATCCCTCCAGGTAGGTATGAAAATGTGTGTCTGTGCCTGTGGGTGTATGTCACACTGTACCTGCGCAGTGCCTGGTCCTTTTCATGGATCGGCACATGGTGAAACAGGTGAGGGATCATCTCCATAATTCTCCTGGTTGGCTCGGAGATGCTTGCTCTGTACTCTGGCTGGGCGTGTCTCCGCTGCATCACTTCCTGCTTGGCTGACTCCTTCAGCCTCTTGTAGAGGGTCCTGAGGCCCTGAGCGGTGCGATGGGGTCTGTCCCCTCCCAAGGCATTGTACTGCTCAGCCACAGTGTCCCAGCACTTGTTCTTGTCCACGATGACCGCATGTTTGTTGGTGTGCTCCTCCAGGATGCGGATGTGAGGACGCACCAGCTTCAACAGGTCCAGCTTCTCAGAGAGGGTGAAGTTGGAGGAGCGAGCTTTACCCACCATACTGGACAGAAACACGGAGCTGGACGCCATCTTATAGCATAGCGGACTCACACAGACCAAGTCAGGCCTATGGCTGTCACCCCTCAGTAAACACACTTGATACTAAGGCTCCTCACTCTTCCCACCTGTCTTTTTTTTTGTCCCTGCTGCTGGCTTCTCTTGATCCACGGTAATAAAGCTAACATTGGTCTAACTCCCACACATATCTAATTTTCCTTCACTTCTTCTTAAAATCAAACATAAGCTATGTCTAACATGTGCATGGATTCATACACTACTCCTTGGTTCCCTCTCAGCTACGTTGCACAACAAAAACAGGCTGTGCTGCACACAATAAGAATCAGGCTTAACTAGGCCAGCCTCGTTTAGGCCCCCGCCTACCGCGGAGGGCTTTGGATGAATTCCTCCCAGCTTAGGCTGACGTAGCTAAGCCGCTTAAGCCCAGCCCGACCTACTTACAGCTCGGTCTCTCTAAACCCCAAACCAAGCACAGCACAGAGCACAGCACAGCCACTCTGCCTCTACATTATAACACAGGGACAGACATCAGAGGGTCTGTGTTCTGCACAAATGAGGGAAACAGTCTAATAACACCGTATTACAGGTTATTAGGGGTCAGGAGAATATTTTTCCAAAACTGAGTGCCGCTTTGAAATAGCGCTGGCTTAACTAACTGAGTGGGGGGAGGGATCTGTGAGCGCGCTGCGCATGCCCGCAGCAGCGAAGCGCTTATACCCATTTCTATGCCGCTTTACTGTGAATGCAAAACAATAAATCTCAACTGTGCATCGGGAAAAACTGATTCATTTGATTAAAACACGTGTTTCGGGACGTGTGTGGGAACCGTGCCGAGCCACAGGCAGAGAGGTTGTGAGACGCGTGTTTTCAGGGTGGAAAACAAGGCACTAGTTGCTCTTGCAGGAGGAGGGAGCGGTGGCTCACTGATCCCGAGCACAGTCCTAATCTGCCCGCCGCTGCCGCTGCACTACCCCGCTCATTTGCATAATGCTAGACCTGCTGTCACTCAGCCTCAGCCCGCCTGGTTTAACGTCCATCTCCAGTGCCTGTGTGTGTGTGTGTGTGTGTGTGTGTGTGTGTGTGTTATTATTAGCCACAGAGGGACAGTCAGGCGCTGTGAAATGAGAAAGCGATGTGGCTCTGCATCACTCTCAGCAGCATCGCACGGTTGTTTATACAGAAACAGGTACAAACAAAAACAAAAAGTGCAATTCAAATGGCACAAACCGCACACTGGATGTATTCAAATGTAGTGAGAGCAGCATCGATCCGTGTTGTTGCTACAGTTAATGTTAAATAATGACTTTCAGTGTGTATGTGGAGAGAAGGCAGGTGTTTTGTGTTGAGTTAAAGCAGACTACACACTGCCTCTAAAAATAAAAGGCAACTGAAGTCTGGCCTCATGTTTTAGAAAAAAAAGATTTTGCACTGACTATTTGTTAGTTTTGCGTGGGAGGAATTAAATCCCTCTGATGGATCTTGACCCAAGTTGGATATCATTTTTTAAATTACTACTTGAGTGTATCACACAGCAAAAGAAGGAAGGTAGGTAGATAATAAACATGAAGGAGAACAGATAGAGGTTTTAATTACCCTGTATTATAGTGAATACTTTTATTATATTTATATATTATATATATTCTATTTTTTTAGATATTTCTTGGGCAATTTAAGCGTACATTCATTATAAATAACCTAAAAGGGAAAATAGGCAATAAAACTGGTACGAATAAGTACATATAACTATAATATATAAATCAAATTAAGAAATATGTCTAAATTACCTCGATCTAACTGGAACTGACTCGAATCAGAATCAGCTTTTAATCAGAATTGATTTCTCTGATTGAGCACCTATAGCAGCAAACATACCGTCATCTTAAAGGTGATGTAAATATGAATTCCCCACACTCTCACACACGGTACTTCATACAAGTATGCCCATTACAATAGCAGCATTACCACAGCAGGTATTAGACATTGTAGCACATAAATGCATGAATGTGATAAGTAATTTTTTATGTGTGTGTGTGTGTGTATATAATATGAACACTTTATATATATATATATATATATATATATATATATATATATATATATATATATATATATAACACACAGACAAATATACGTACACACACACACACATATATACAGATACGTATATATAATTGTCTTGATTTGCCTGTATTTGCCTGAAAAAGACTTGTGTTGGGTTGAAATGTCGCTAAATTAAACATTTGTGTCTCACCTGCTGGTCCGTTGTCCTCTGTGTATTCCTCCGTGAGAGTGTCACCATGTTCTGTCTCAGTCTCATTTTCTTTACTTTCCGTTGCACTCAGAACACGAGCCAGAGCCCTCGACCAGGCCGGAGCCGGCTGGGCAGCCTTGGACGAGACTTCATACTCTGTTTTACTCAGAACTGGTGCTGCCAGACTTCTGTGGACCTGCAGGACAAGAGGAAGAGAAATGTTTGAAACAAAGCTGGATGATGGGAATCCAAATACTGAGTGGTTATACTGTATGTAAAATGTGAATAATTTACCTTTTCCAGTGCATTTCCCAAACCAAGTTTAGAGGTAAGGGGCTTGGATTGAGCCACGGGACATAAAGTAGAAGCTCCAGGAGGCAGAAACCGAGGTTTTTTCACTGCATTACCAGAGAGCTGACTGGGAGCTCCTGATCGACGCATTCTTCTACTGGAAACGCACAATAATCAAACCTACACACAGAAAACACAATTATCAACACAATAATTAATACTGGCACCTAATTAGGTGCTATTAAGGCAGTACGACTGATACCAATATTATCAAATATTATGGCAATATGGCCTGGTGAAATATTCAAATCACACAAGCTGCAGTTTTTTGATAAAGGTGAAATGTGTGACACAAAAGCATTATAATGAAGTACTGTAATGCTGCAGAGGTGCCCTGATCTACAAATGTTTTTCTCCAGATGTGAGAAAACATTGTTTGGTGTGACGCAGGAAGACCCAAGGATCTTTCAAGGGGACTCTGACACAATTAGAAGAAGAAAATATTTTCCAGAATCTACATTTACTGCTGGTGGCTCTCTCTGTTGTTCACTTCAGACACACAAACACTGTCTTATGAGAACAACTCAAACACACTTAATGTTAGCTACCTGAAGGCACCACTTTGACTGTGGTAGCTTTAGATGGACATTTAACATTGCACTAACACACTCAATAAAAGATGTGTCACTGTTAAGACAAAAGACATCTCTGAAAGCCTTTGAAACCTTGATACAACCTGCCACCAACACATCAAGCTCCAGCTACATAAACCTGTGGCAGGGTAGCAAGCGAGCTAACAAACAGTCGCTAACACTGCTGACTCGGTTTAAACTCGGCTGTAATGTCATGTTTGATCACGTGTGACAACGTCTCATACATACCCGGACGAACTAAAAGTTCAACACAAACATTTAAGAGCAAAAGTTGTCACTTAATAACCCCAAAAAACAGTCTTGTCTTGTATTTTCCTCTGTGTCTCTCGATCCTGTTGTTTCTCCCGCTGAATGCTTAGAAGAAGCTGATTGGTTGAACGCCCGGTTGTGGGCGTGGCCAAAAGCGAGTAGGGTGCGTTGGGTTTGTTACGTCACAGCAGGTTATCGGTGACGTCCCACTTGAACTTCCGCAACCCGTCAATTCCTGAGGTACAAAACGAGCTCACCTGGTGTGACCTCACTTCACACCTTCAATGACATTAGAAGGAGAATAAAATCTTTAACACATGTAGATGTGCACGTAAAGTTATCTTCGATGATTATATATTTATTTAGTATTAATTTTATTTGATAATACTTGTGATTATATTTATACTTTGACACACTGGTGAAAGAAGAAGTATTCAGATCATTACCGTAAGTAAAAGTAGAGCCACATAGAGAAAATACTTCACTACAAGTAAAAGTTCTGCATTAATAAAAGTTTGTTTTTATCAGGAAATGATACCTGAAGTATCAAAAGTAAAAGTGCATTCTCTACACAAAAATGGTCCCTGTCAGTGTTTTGCTTGTATGTATGATGTTTTTGGATTAATATTACATTAAAGGTGCATTTTACTGCTGTTGATGTTTATGATTGAGCTCATTTTAGTTTAATTTACAGAAATGTATCATATTCTATAAGACCATCATATGTGTGTAGCTTCACTGTCCCGTGAGAACCAACTTTTCATGAGTTAATCAAAGAGGTTTTTTTTCATAGATTATTTAGTTTAAGAAGTAGGATAATTCCCTCAGCCCATAAAATCAACACTTAATCCTTCACTTTATCAGAAACATACAAATTAAAAATCAGCAAATTTCAAGATACATGGACATAGACAGTATGAAAAATTGTAATCTGAAATGTAATTAGTAACATAAGCTGTCAAACAAATGTAGTGGAGTACAGTAAGTATAAAGTTGTATAAAATGGAAACACTCATGTCAAAGTACCTTGAATTTGTACTTAAGTACACAACTTTTTTTAAATTCAAAAACCTATAATGAGCGTATAAAATGCCTGTGACTTGCAACAACATTGAAATATAGCCTCTGTGTTTATGTATCAGTAATTAGATATAATCAATGATATAATATTTATTGATAAAACACTGACAGGTGCATAATGTGTATTTTAACTTTAGATAGACAAAGTACATTCTTGCACTCTTGTACTGAAGTGAAAACTGAAGTGCACAACTTTTACTTATAATGGAGTGTTTTTACATTGTGGTATTGATCTTTTTCACTTAAATAAAGAATCTGGATACTTCTTCCACCACTGACAAAAATGGATGTACATTTTTTTAACTTCAATTTTCATTATATAAAGGGGCCGGGATGAGTCCAGGGGTTTGGATTGCTCTTTGATTTCTGTGGTCTGTGTCATCTGATGTCATGCAGTCTGTAATCCAATCAGGGAGAGAGAGAGAGTGTAATCCATGTTAATCCCACGTCCAGAGAGAGAGAGAGAGAGAGAGAGAGAGAGAGAGAGAGAGAGAGAGAGAGAGAGAGAGAGAGAGAGGGAAACCTGGGATAGGGTGGTTCATTAAGAGAGACAGAAACAGTTGAAGGACAGCAGTAATCTCTGAACCAAGCTTTATTGGTAAGGCAGTGAGGAAAACACACTGCTACAAAATGTGTCTGTTTTTGAGTGTTAGTGTCAATTCTCCTGTAATTCTGCCTCTCTCTGATCTGATATGATCTCGTCTGACAGCTGCCTGCCTGTGTCCCGAACCCTCGTTGTCAGGGTTACCTCTCCATGGAGACGCACTCCCAAGGTAGGGGGAGGGCTTTAAGGGAAAAGGAGACCCTAACCTCGATGGAGCAACAAGTCAAAGGAGAGAGGATGAAGAAGGAAAGACTGTAGTTGTGGAGCAATAAGAAGGAGAGGTGACCTGTGGGAGAACAAGAGGAGTGGAAATTGACAGCAGAATAAAAGAAGAAAGAGTTGGATTTGTCAGGTGGGAACATTATTGTCAGAGATGATCATTAAAAAAAAGAAGAATCAAAGGAGATTGGTGAGTTTTATCCCCTTTTGTCATGTTTGTATAATCTATCCGTGTGGTTGCAGGATGGGCTATGATCTGGAGAGGTTTGTGGGCTATGTGAATGAGGGTCTCCTGTGCTGTGTGTGTCGAGACGTGTTGGAGCGCCCCCTTCAGGCGCCCTGTGAACATGCATATTGCAGCGCCTGCATCAGCAGCTGGCTGGTCCATCATCACTCCTGTCCCGAGGACAGACTGCCACTGGATGTGGGCAGCCTCAAACCACTGTACAGGTCTGTCTACATCTCTGAACATTTGTCACTGTCTTGTCACTGTAATTATCCATCCTTAAGTTTCACACTTTCTTTCCAATATTCAGTAAGGTCACACAAACACAGTTTACCCTTGATTCTCTGACACTGTCTTTGTCTTTGATGACAGGTACATGCGTAACGACCTGACCCGTCTGCAGATACGCTGCGTGAATGCAGCGCAGGGTTGTGAGGTGGTCTGCTCCCTGGAGACCCTCCACACACATGAGGATGAGTGCGAGTTTGCCTTCATATCCTGCTCTAACACAGGTATGAAAACCTCACACAGATCTCACCTAATGTGTCATTTGTTATTATTAGTTCATTGGTAATTGGTAGTGTTTGTATCTATGTGGATGTGTAGGATATAAAGGTAATGTGACACCTGTGTGTGTGTCTGTGTCTGTGTGTGGGGGTGGGTGGGAACAACAGGTGGCTCTTTGGTTGTCATGGCTACTACTCAAACTAGTGCACCAATGGCACTTATTCAAAACTGAAAGCTCTCAAAGACCTCACACAGAGTGCATTCACGGTCAACTTTCCATCACTCTTTAATGAGCTATTTAAAAGTGTGTGTGTGTGTGTGTGTGTGTGTGTATACAAGCATGTGCTCTTGTACTCACAATGTGACTGTGACCTGTCATTGGCAGGTGGAGAGTACATATGTTACCTTTGTGGTAGGTAAAGTTACAATGTGTGTGCATGCGGTGTGGCTTTCTTTTTTGCAGTGTTACTACACAGCAACAGTTTTATACAACATTCAGCCTGATGTTTCTGTTGCTGTCTACGACTATATATATGTAATAACTGCAGTGAGGGGTGTAAAAGCTGGCATGGTTTATATTAATATATTGTAATTTAATAGTCCTTTTCCAGTACTGCTATTGTATATATAATTACTATATTCACTTCCACAATGTAGAAAGCAGATTGTTGAGGATTTACCCTTGAAATTATTACAGAATAGCCAACCACTATGTTGGTCAATGGCCAGCACTTTTAAAAGCACCACTTAAATGGAAAGACGTGGTGTCTTCATATATACTTTATAGTGTTACTTAAATAACTTCCAATATAATTGAATCTGTGTAAGTCATACTAAAGTCAAGTAACTGCACTTCTACTTGTGAAATACTTTGGTACTGTTTCCACTCTTGTGTGACGTATCTATTTTTTATATAAACCAAATATCTTTTCATAAGATGTGCTGGAAGACTGTCTACCTGGTACCTGTGTAGATGGTCTCTTCATGTGAGGTCTGTCTATCTATATATGTGCTGCTCTCCTCTCAGGTTGTCCTGTGCAGGTAGAGAGGCGGGGTTTGGAGGCTCACCTGTCAGAATGCAACTTCCGCAGCAGGGAGTGTCCCAACGGCTGTGGCCACACCCTTCTCTCCACCGACCAATCACAGCATAACTGTGTGGCAGAGCTGCGCACAGAAGTGGAGATGCTCAGGTGTGTATGTGTGTTCACTCTCTCCTAATCCTGAACAGAGCTCCTGTTTGTATGCGTTTTTTAGGTCATTATTTTGTCTCATTTAATATTCTCGGCAGGGCAGAGATGCTGTGCAAGGTGGAGGAAGTGAGACGAGAGATGGAGTCTCGGTTGGACTCACAGAGGAGACATATGGTGCAGAAAGAGTCGCAGCTGAAGAACGAGGTGGAGGAGCTCAAGGTCACCTGTCAATCCTACTCTCTTTACTCCATCTAATGGCAAGCTACAATGCAAAATGAGATTTTACACAACCTCATTATGTATTAAGACATTTAAACTGCCCAACATAACGGTTCGTCTTTTTTGTGAGAAACTCTCACCTATATTGGCTTAAATGTTGAGATTCAATATAAAAAGAAATACATTTAATATATATATTCCTCAGGGTGATTACTTTTACATGTTTTTTCCACTCTTTACACTTCAGTAAATGCTTCCTCCACCACTGTCAGAAACACAGAAAAGTCTATGCTGTGAACCATGTTGTTGCGTGTTCAGTAATCTTGTGTTGTCTCCATGCAGGGTCAGTTGTCCCGCGTGATGTGCGACATGCGAGCCCTGTTAGGAGCAGAGCGTCTGAGACGACAGGAGCTGGCAGAAGCCGAGCTGGAAAAGAGGGAACTGCTGGAGCTCCTCAGAGACCTGCAGCCAACCAGGAGTCCACATTCCACCGAACAGGCAGCCAGGGACGAGCGTCAGGGAGACCAGCAGACATTTGGATGGGAACTACTACACACGGAGCAGACAAGACACCAGCAGAGGGAGGCATTTTTACATGCCTCCAGTCTATCACTACATTCAGCTCAGGCCATAAATATATCAGGTCCACCTCCGTCACCTCAGCTGGGTGAGGGAGCACGTAAAGGTGGAACCAGGAGTCTGACTCTAGACTGCATCAAGAGGAAGAGCAGGGAGGTGACAGTCATCTGAGTAGACTGGACTGTTGGGAGATTGTCCAAACTAGAAAAGATTAAATCTTTATTTTTGTAACATTTTGCAAACGGTTTCCAACATTCATTTAGAAATTAAAATGTAATGCAAGTACAGCAAGTTCTTTTGTGTCTGGCCTAAAGAGTTTTAGTCTGCGGTGGAATGAACCATATGTTGTGTTCGTCAGGTCTTTTTTTGTAATTCTACAAACTAAAATTATCTTTTGACTAAGCTCAAGTGAAAGTGAATATTTATTAATTTTGTAGACTCACCCCCAATCAATTCTGCAAACAGATCATTGTGTACTGTCTCTTGGATTAAAAACAATTACCTCAAATGAGTTTCTTTATCTCAGGATTAATTTTTTCATAGTTTCATTAGTGATTAATCTTCATCAAGTTTATGCTTAGGAAATGTTTGTTAAATGAATGTTGGTTAGTCCAGAACTTAAAAATTACTAAGCTAACGTGTAGTCTTTTATAGGTTTGTTGGTCTAAGGTAAAAACAAGGCATACAAAGGGACTCTTGGAGGACAACTTTCATGTTATACTGTGTGGTAGTTTGTAGTCTCCTCCATGTATCACTAACAATATAATCTTTAACATTAGTTAATTATTATTATTAATGGTTACCTGGATGTCCTGTTGCTGCAGCTGACATGTACCACATGAGAGGTGTGATATTTTGGGTTCAACTTGCATTGTACATCATTGTACCTCTCACTCTCACAAATACTTCCTTTGTCACCACTTTCACCTATAAAATATAAGGAACAATTCCCACATGGTCTTTTAAAAAATGGCCACCTTGGGATGTAGAGTAATTTAAGACTATTTAGACAAAATTCTTGTCACGCACCTTGAAGGACCTAAAATACTGTGTAAATTTGGCCTCTAAGTTTGAATGGAAGGTTGTTTACGTTTCACTTTGTTAAAGCATGATCCAGGTACTAGATGCTCTGAGGAGAGCTCGTTGGCTGACAGTCGTGGTCACTGTCTTTATCAGGTCATTATTTTGTCTGGTGTGTAAAAATCAAAAGTGTAAATTTGGTTACTATGACCTTTATTCTCGGAATACAACTCATGATAACAAAACATAAAACATCAACACAGAGTCTGTACGTCATTGTGACAACATCATCCCACCACGTTTCCATGGAGACAGTATATATAATATCCTGATTGGTCCATATGTCCATGAAAGGCTGCAGTCATTACCCAGGTGAATTTACCTGGTGAAGGAGCGAACATGTCTGCCCCTCCCACCGCCGCTCCCTCCCCCACCACTGAACTTGCTCCCCTGAGATCCTCTCCCCCCTCCTCCTCCTCCTCCACCTCCCCCTCCAGCACTGCCGCCACCTCCTCCCCCACTGAGCCACGACAGTCCGGCGCCTCCTCTTCCCCGGGGGGCTCGGTCCCGTGGAGCCAACCGATATGCACCTGGAACAATAGAGATGGAGTTCAGTGCTTTGAAATTCATAGTGTGAAATCCAACAAAAAGTGTGTGTGTGTATACACTACATACTTGCTGGGGGTTGTCTGGAGGGCAGTGGTCCACGTGTGAAGTTGCTCTGACCTCCACGGGGTTCACTGTAGGTTCCTCTGTGAGTAACAGCTGGAACTTGTCCGCTCCACGATGAACCACGGCCTCCTTCTCTGCGGGTGTAGTTACCTACAGAACAAAAGAGAGGATTTATCTCCCTCTTCTGGCCAACAAGTGGTTTTGACATGCAGTATAATAATATATAACACATACAGTACAGTAGGCTAATAATTTGACAAAAACAATCTTAACTCAAGGTCCACTCAATAGTCTTTTGTCTGAGCAACATTTTGACAACTGAACAAACTCCATCTGCTCATGAAGAGAGCAAAAAGAGTAGAAAGCTCTACAAAAAACTAGTCCTTCTTTTAACTTTTAAGTGAACACAATAAATATTTGCTTCAATATGATGGTGTGTGTCTGTGTGTACGTACCGGACAGCAGTACACTTTTCGGTTGTGGTGGAGTGAAAAAGCGAGTCTGGCTGTGGAAGGTGGCTCTGCCTCTGTTGCCAGTGAACAGTCCTCTGGTGGGGGGTTTGGGGGAGCTCTTGGGGGGCCGTTTGGGGGGCAAAAGTCCAAGAGGGGTGCCAATGTCTTTAAACTCCGCCGCCACAAAGTCATCCACGTGCATACTGGGAGGACGGGAGGTGTTTTGTTTGCGCTGGCGGAAGATATCATGAGGTCGGCAGAGATTCTGTCCAAACCCTCCTCGACCTCCACGGCCGCGAGGTACAGCCATGATGTGGGCTCTCTTAGCAGGTTCAACATAGTCTGATTTACCGCTGCAGAAACAAGAAAGACATGAAATCCAGTCAGTTGATTCAAATGAGATGTTAGTTCCCTGAGAACAGGACAGAAGAGATATGAAATTACTTAAAAGGTTCAAATGCACCCAAACACTGGAACTGTACCTTGATGTGATGAAAGTCTCATGTTTGTGTTTGCCCAGTCGGAAGCCTTTCGGAGCCTTCGTGTGACCAGGAGAGGAGGGCTCGGACAGGAAGGAGCGCTCCAGCTCTGCCTTCAGGTCCAGTTCTGGACAACACTCCTGAGCCAGACCCACCAGATCCACCTTCACCTGTAACACAGACAAAGTGGTAATCATAGACATAAAGTCAACCCACATAGATACAGCCATAGCCCTTTATAACTGTACATTACCATGTGTAATTGGGTTTAATATTTATGTTCACATCAATTCATGGGTGTGTAATTAACACATACTGAATTGTTTATCTCAAAATCCATTTAAAAGTCCCACGTGAGTCATCAAGCTTACATAGCAGCCAAGTTAGGAAAAAACATGTGTTTGCTTCAGGCTGTAGTAATGTAGTTATTATGCTGTAGTTATTTATTATTTGATCTACTAAAAATGGAGCAGTGGCACTTTGACTAAAGAGAAAATCTGGATTATAATTTTTGTGGGCGTCTTCAAAGTGCATGTACACATACACACTTACCATATCAAGTTCTGCTTCTATGTCATCGGTTTGGAAGGGAGAGAACCACAGAGTCTTCAGCTGCTCATCCAGAGCTTCTGACAGAATGAACACCGTCCTACAACAACATATACGTATTATTAGATCCAGTGTTTTCTCAGATTTTCCACAAAATGAAGCCCATTTTAGTATGTCATCAGTGATAGGTTTGGTTCTAGTTTTAGCTGTGGTGCAAGTCACGTTTAGACCATTTTGTTATGAATATCTGCTTAAATAATTCTTTCATACTAGACCTTTACACTGAGGATGATAGCCCCTCCTTCATACATTCGCATGCCTAAAAAACTACTCATGCCTTAATAAAATTGAAAGTGCAAGAAACCTTGCTCATGTGTTCCTTTGATATGTTCAAACAACCAAATTAAAGGGCCACTGTGTAAGATTTAAGAGGATCTATTGGCAGAAATCTAATGTAATATTCATAGGTGTGCCTCCCTGTGACTGACAGCTTAATGAAGACAAAATGAATAGAGAAAATGTTGATGTATGTCATTTCTTACCTGTGATTAAACTGGGCTCCAAGCGTCTCGGGCGGTGGCAGAGTTGGCTCAGTATCAGCTGCAGGAGGCGTGTCTGTGGCCGTTTCCAGCGTCTGCCTCAAAACAATCACATTCTCCAACAGAGTCTCCAATGAATCATCTTCCTTAGACAGTTTCTACAGTCAAACACAGACAGAGTTACAGTCAGTTAAATGCCATGGAAGCATCGTCTTTTATTTTGCAAAAAAACTATACATGTGGATAATTTGTACCGTAATCTGTTTCTCTAAAGTAGGGAGCGGATGGGACTCAGACTCTTCCCACTGCAGTAGAGCTTTCATCTCATAGCCCGTCAGTAACCGTGGAGTAGTGCAGGCAGACTCCTCGCCAGACCCCTGGGCCTCATCAACACACTGGATAAGAACACAGACAGATCCGAATATAAAATCCAACTATCACACACTGTATCCAACTCTGCAACTTTTTCCTTATGCAATTGGTAATTTAGATGTACCTCCCATGTGCCAAGGGATTCGTACTTAGAGCACTACTTATAACTGTAAACCTAAAGTGCTTCCAACAAACATTTTTCTCACAATAATTTCTACAGTTACTTCAACAGCATGTACACTCTTGGTACACATGGCATACACTTGAACCATAAAACCAGGTACTGACCATTGTTTCTGTGTTGACAATCTGTCTGAGGAAGTCGAGCAGAGCCGAGAGCAAATCTGCTGAGTCCTTGTTGAAGGGAAACACTAATCTCTTCAACAGTGAGCACAGACCCGCACCATGTTTCTTTAGAGCACTGAAACAAAGATTAAATATAATCAAACTCTTGCTTAAGTAAGAAAAGGACACTATGCCTCACAGAAAGAGAAGAGATTATAAAAGGGAGACCAAGAAGAATGCCAAGAAGAAGAGTTTTACACTTTGAGATGGAAGAGTCCATAGTCATGTTCAGTGAGGAATGTCAATGTCCTGATACAGGTGAGGAGGAGTGGGACACTGCTCTCTGAATTCCCCAAAACCTCCAACAAGGCGTTGCACACTGATGACATCATCTCTCGCCCTGGAAGCGAATTGGCCAGAAGCTCTACCTCGGACACACAGCTCTCACCGGGTGGAGATACCATCAGAGAAATGTCCTAGTGCAGATGGAGATTCATATTTTTTTAGGTTTTATCTGTTTCCCTGTAAGCATCTGTTTATGTTAGCCTTCATGCGCACTATACTGCTTACCTGGTCACACAGTGACTGTAATATTGTCCCCACTAGTTCACTGCACTGTTGCTGCTGTAAGGAGTGGTCAGCTGGAGGAACCAACAGAGACAGCAGCAAGGGGAACAGATCGGCCAGTTGTTCATCTCCAGACACAGATCCGGACAGCAGATGCAGTGCCGCACTCTTGCAAGCTTTCTGTGACACCAGAGCATCCATCAAAGACAGCAGTCGCAGGACCTGGCCCCAGCACACCGCTTTTCCCTCCACCCTGCAATTAGCACATTGAATACACTTAAAATACAATTTACATCTTAAACACAAACAACTAAGTGTGTGTTTTTCACTCACGGCTGCAGCTCTTCCAGCAGCAGCTCCAGCAGGGTCTTCATGATGAGTGTTGCAGTTGGCGAAGACAGGTCTGCCAGCTGAACACACATTCTCCTCAGCATGGCCAGGAGAGGAGGGCAGCTGGTGGCACACACACACCTCAATGCCTCAGAAAACACTTTCCACTGTGCCCGTATGTGCATGCTCCACAGCTTCCTTGTGTTTAAGGCTACAGCCACATCTTGGACTGATATCACCTATGGA